TTTGCAATTGATATAACGACACACTATACATGTGTTTCCCATTTATAACAACGTTACACACGTGGGTGTCAATTTTAATGTTTAGGGACAACAAAAAACAACATTCGCAGACAGAAATGAAATACAGTATGCCAAACAAGCACCGCACATCGCGTGGCTTTAATAAGCTCGGCCATATATTACCAGTCAGCTTTGCAGCATGTGACCTTATGAAATGGCGCCGTCGGAGAATTTGATTCCACGCTGTATTGACAACTACAATTACGAAGTCGTGATTGAGGTAGATGTATCAATTTACCAGCTGTAATTTTAAAAATACCATAAAATACTTAAAATTTTAAGGTAATTCAACCTTTTAACCAACATTTCCTCTTTTTTATGTACGTTTTAGCATGATTCAGTGTGTGCCAGATGCTAAATACTGCAAAACGTAATTTTGTTTAGCGGGTATTTTAATTTATTGCTGAAAATAACACACGTAGAATTACTTTGATAATGCTTGTGTTCTGGGTCACGTCTTCGCAATATGACGCAATATCAGTTTTCGAATAAAATGCAACAGAGCACTCATTTCTAGTTGTGAAAAATATCTTTTGAGCAATGCTGAAAAATACCATTGGAATTAAAGCGGACCGGGGTCAAAGCATACTGGTCCGCAGCACTACAGAATATCGTAGCAGACGAGATATAGCATAAGGGTGACCGTACATTTGAACCCACGTACATTTGAACACATGTGTAAATCTGCAGGTTCAATCCATAAGCGGGTGTTAAAATCCATGGGTTAGGGTTAGTATGGGTTCAAATATCCGTAAAACAAAAGCATTTTTATAGGTGTAATAGTATGCAGGTGCAATTGCCGTGGGTTCAGATGTACGGGAACCTAGCATAAGGTATGGAGATCAATATCAAACATTTAGCGTGGTGGCACATCCCTATGTATATCCTGTATACCAATGAACCCAAAGATGGATCGACGTCGAAGCAGAATGTTCAGTGATAATGATCTTCCTACACCTCCCCTATAGGGGACAAACAACTCCTCTAATTTTGAGGTATGACACCAAAGTTTAATTTCTAACTTGACTATATTTGTATTTGAATATCCAGAAAATGAGGTATATGCCGGTGAAGAGTGTCAGTCGAATACATGACACATTTTTATACGTTACAAATAGTTTTAACGGCACTGTGGGATTTAGTAACAGACGAGGAGGGTATCTGAATACAGTATTTGATAAATGTAGAGAAAATAGTCTGTAATTTTCAAAGTTTCGGCATGTGTGACATTATTCACTAAAATAACGTGAAATGTACATAGTAAATTTAATTGAGCAAAAACAGATAAAATGCCAAGAACTTGAATAACCTGTGCTTCAGTACCGTGATACGTTAGCATTATATTGTAGTGTAAAATAGTAGTTTAACTTCCTGGTAACTCTCTGCACTTGATTTATTATTTTTCATCGAAATTCTGATGTGTTGCCGTCACACGGTAATGACTCCAAAACCCCAATTCAGTCTGGGATATATATATATATGATCGCCCACAGCGGAAAATACTTGTTTTGGCTACAGTGTATACGTAATTTGCTTTTACCTCTTTTTGTGGGAAAATGGTTACATTAAAAATAGATATTTTCGCGATATGTATATATACCAAAGTTCACATCAGAAATACCGTTCTCGACTCGGATTGTCCTCAGTGGTAGTGTATGCGGAAATAATACAGAATGCGTTTCATTTACTGTGCGCTGCAAGCATTTTTTTCATAGTACTGAGAATTGATGTTGTGTGAAAAGTGAGGGGCGACATTTAACATTACAGCTTTTCCCAAGGTGTTTCACTTTGTGGAATTACAGTTCTACTGCCAGTGCTAGGCTAAATAGTCTCAATACTTTGCATTTGCAACGAGGCATTTCCGACGAGGTAGTCGCGAGTATAAACATATACAGTATATAGCTTTCAGCGACATAGTTGACTACAATTCTATTACTACTGTTACGAGTGCTATTATGACAATGATTTGAGCAATCTTGTGCATAAAAACAATTCGACGTAGACAAGTAATTTGTTGAGCCGAGCTTTAAATTTGCGAATTAATCGCGAGATATGAAATTTAATTAAGTTGTATAGTGAATATAATAGGTGGGAAATGGACAATTTACCAAACAGTATGCGCGCGATCAAACCGATTTTTAAACAGTTTATTTTGTTTTACCTAGCGTTGACCCTTTAACCCGATCTGCCACTTCTGTTCAGACTCGGGCGAGAGTTGTGGAAACGGAAGCCCATTGATTGTAAGCTCAAACGCAAGAAATTATGTATTTGAAAATTGTTTATTTTAAAAACGTGATAAATAGGAAGTTGTACAGTTCAATATTAGGTCTGTGAGTTTGGGCAAATCTTGAATACAATGTAAGGCAGTCAGAGGGTAGTATGCGCGTTTTGGCTAGAAGATTCATCGTATGTTTGGGTTTGAAAGCTGTAACGATTTGCAATATAGCTCTAGTCGGGGATTAAACAACACTAGAGAGTTAGCGACAGAGCAGATTATAGGTGTTGGTAATCTTCACAAATGTTAAAGGTTGCCCGTGATTAATCGCGTAAGTGAGTGATATCTTCCCTTGGTACAATTTTATTTTTGTAATCGATGTGTTTACAACATGCTTTAGTTACGCTTACTGGTAATATAATGCAAATCGTAAGATCTTCTCATTGAATTATTCAACTTTTTATGATTGCCGCATGCCTTTTAGCGTTGGATTTCCTGGTAAGCAAGTCTGACATTTGACAAAACCCATCAGATTAATAAACACTTTTTATTATACATATAGGATACAGGATACATATAATACCATATAAGTTTTATCTTCTAGCTGTATTTAAAGTTGCCTTTTCTGCTTGGTACCGGTATCGTGACAAGGTTACTTGCTAACGGTACGTTGTTATCAGTGTGTGAGGGGGAAATATTTACCTGAAAGTCGCAATTAGATAATTCTTACTTCACAAAATACTTGAATGAAGTGTCAGTTCCTGTGGGTACAAGTCTCTTCACATTGGTTCGTTTTCAAAAATAATCCATAAGGTTTGAAATTCTAGCAGTCAGCATCATTTAACCATCTCAGGGTATAACGTTAGCTATGTTATATAGTAAATAAATAAGAGAACAATTCTAGGTAAAATGACTAAAATGCTGACTGTCAATGTATAAGACAAAGTCCCGATTCGGCAATTTTGACACGCGTTGCGTGGAAATGAATTCGATTTGCATTGAAAAGCACGGTTGACTGGCCATACAAATCAAATTATGGCAACACTGCACAGCAGAAAAGATTCTGAAAGCGTTGCCGCATTCCAACGTTACTGCTGTATGAATTGATCTTGTGTCCATAAGTAACTTCTCATCGGAAGCTCGTTGGTCAATTCAAATTGCGTTTCCAGTAATGTAACAATTTCAGTTTTAGCTGGCGATAGTAAAATTAAGTACCGTACGTTGTTTCATAATTATATGTAACAGTTGAATTTCATTTAACTATATTTTTAGCAATAAAGTACAGTGCCGTACGTCAACCCGGTATGATGTTTATAAGTATATAACATAAATTTCCGGCTATGAATTCTCAAAATGTATATTTAGGGTTTATTGGGGAGAGGAAGAAAGTACAGACCGAATGTGGTCATTAACCACATAACAAATTGCAACGTTGCTAGCACGTACGGTTCTGTGTTGCGCAATACGAGTTACTATGGTTTCGTTATCAACTTATGGGATATGCTATCAGATTCAACACCTTTTTCATGTTTCGCTTATCAAAAAAATGGAACAGTCGGTATATATACAAAGTTTGGAAGTGCAAATTTAAATTTTGATACTTTTTGGGGGTAATCGAGAGAATAAAGGTCCAGAATCCCTGCTATATCCTATCGATGTGTCAGAATACCAGGTTCCGGAGTATCTTTTCCATTTAAATTAGTCACTGATGAAACTCTTTACCTGCGCTTGTACGCTATTAAGTATGATTTATCAAGGAATATTTTACTGTAACATGCGTTCGTTGCATTGCTGGGATTCGTAAATAATAACGAACATTCATAGTGACTTTTATCTCCGAAAGCGGATGGAAGTAGAGTGCCGAAACCGTTAACATGACTGCATGTCCGTGGCTTGAGTGTCAAGCGGGAAATCCCCTTTTGCATCCTAATTTTAAAATATAGATACAGTGTCAAAATGATAGTTGCCAGAATCGAGCCAGTTTGTTTCAGTGAAAGTAGTATAAATTTATGTTTTATGTGCCCTGGTATCAAAATTTTGCATTTATTTGACGCTAATGTATTCAGTTAACGGAGACGGAGATTGTTGAAGCCATTTATTTAGAATCAGTTTAGGTTGCGAGTAATACCGTGTTTTCCCGAAAAAAAGATCCAGCCTGTTTTTTGGAAATTATTTTAATATAAGCCGTCCCTTTGAATAAAACCTAGTCGGAAGCGCGAATTTTCCCACACGTATTATATAATTTATTCATATTTTGTAATTTTTGAAAATGTCGTAATTCTCTTTTTTGTAATTTTGTTTTTGATAAATGGAAATAAAAGACATCCCCCAAAATAAGCCCTGGTGTTATTTTTCAAAAGAAAATTGGTATAAGATCCGGTCTTATTTTAGGGGAGACACGGTATAAATGGAACCCACGTTAGTGATTGAACAATTAAAAAATCAACTATTGACTGCTGTATGAAATATTCAAAACTTGTTGTCATAGGATTTATATTATATATATATACCATAAGCACTTTGCATTTCGTTTTCATTTTGCACTTTTGCAATGCATTTCGTACAGAACAAATATTGATCACACTTTATATACATATAAAAGATATAATATATAGTAGCCTACATTTAGTATCCGGCATGTGACACGAATATTAAATGCAAAATATTGAACCGCAAGAGAATTGATATATACTGTAATTATAATTTATCTTATCAAATATTTTTACAGTAGTTTTATTGTAGTTAACTTATTTATGTGTTTCATTGGAAAATAAGAAATGATTTCCACCATTTTGGCGAACGGTTTGTTACTAGTCATCCTTGGACCAATCTCGATTGAAGGTGGGTGATTTTTAAACTTCCAACAAAAGTCTAATTTATTTCCAGTCAGAGATAAATTATGGTAATTTTTTACAACCAAGGATGTAATAAATTGGGTTAGCAATGTCATTCCGAAAAGATTCGTCCCCTCTAAGATTGCTCGTTGCCTGTCAGCGATTGCTTTTACAGAACCCTTTTTAGAACAATGGCTGGTAAAAGTGGCTTTGATCAAAATTTACTTGTAAACGTCAAAAAATAGTAGTAAAAAATACTTTACAAGCGACCACAGGCGGAGAGAGATTTTATCTCGATCTAAAAGCCTTGGCGCCAAAGACGTGAGGGGGTGTGAATATTAGCCGACACGAATCTCCAGGAAAGCATAAGAAATGACGTTGACTTAAGAATTTACCAAAATTACTGAAAGCATAAGTACTTGAGAACAAAATGTATACCGCATCCTATTAAGAGATAAAGTTTGCCGCAGATAATCATGAACCCAATATCTTTTAGATACGTTAAGTAGAGTTTTTAGATAAAACTTATACATTTATTTATCTATATAAATATGAAGTCTGTGTTCAAATGCACGTTATTGACTAAATTAGCGATGCCAAATTACAGGTAAAGTTTGTCCGCAAATAATCTTAAACCAATATCTTATAGATACGTTGAGTAGAGTTTCTGGAAGAAACTATATATTTATCTATACAAATATGAGTTCTGCGTTTAAGTATACACGCCAGCGACGAAATTGGTGATGTCAAGACTACGAATATTAGACATATTGATTTTTAGAAACCATCATTAATTTATTTTTCCACGCGTGAACATACGATAAACCACTAAACCGGTTGGTCGATTATGGATAGTTTGCACTTAGCAAATAATTATCAGTAAGCTTGCCGTTGGCCAAACGCCACCAACATCGAAGATAATAAAACGCAACAAGGTCACTAAAAATCGTAAAAGGCTGATGACGGTAAAAATTATCCGTCAGGACAGATAGCATAAACAAAACTCGCACTAGAATCAATTCCAAGGAATTGTTGTTTTAGCGTCTTTTGATAGAGCTGGATCTGCTAAAAGAAATAGCCCAACCAAACATGATAAGCGAAGTTTAATCTCGTAGGCATAAATTACAGTAAACCCGATTGTAGTGATGTTTGGGTGCAACCCGTCGGCAACTATAATTCATGGCACAATTTAAAAACGAGAACATATATGCAGCATGCAAGCAGTTTCTATTTAAATAGATAAAACCATTTTGGCGTCGATTGAATACTGGGATAACATATTGCCATTCTTTATTATCTGCACCACTCAATAAGCGCACCAGCGGTTCTCAGAGATGGCGGAAATAATTCAGAAATGATTGGATCGTTTGACTAGTTCTTGAATGGTGTTGCGAGTAATAATATAATACCCAGGAAATCATAGCTCATAAACTATACGAGGAACAATCAAATGAATTACCCTTGACGTTGGGAATTTGTCGGCTATTTTTGACACAGTTGGGAAAGTAATTGGCATGTCATTCTCAATCATCGTCTGAATGGCCTGTACTTGTACCGGGAGCTATTGAGCTGCCAAGAGCAGTATATGATGAAATTTGATATTTTATATTGATGGCTGATGCTGTAATGCACCCTTTTACGATACATAAATCTTTGACGTGATCTTTTACTGTTTTACAATTTTACCAATTTAAAATAAGCAACAAAAACTGTGAAAGTTGAAAACTCACTTGTTGGTAACGAAGCTTGTCCTTGGGACATATTTTTTCGTCCAATCTCATGGGATTCCCATTGCAATACAATTCAAAAAAAAATTGTTTGAAATTAGGTATAGCGTCCACTAAATAGGACTACATGTACAAAAAGACATGTAAAACGACAAAATTTCTTGACTTCGTTAACTTAAAAAAATCAGAACTATTTTATGGGAAATACTGTGTGCTGTTCAATCCCATCTCATGGGACGTTTCCCATGGGATTCCAATAGGGATCACATTCCCATGGACAAGCCTGTCGGTATCTGAACGTGTGAATATAACGTTAATAAAAATGGCGGCGACTATGGTAGCCTATGTCACAGTGCGTTACTCATGAAATAAAACAATACGAAGAAATTGTTTTTGAAAGAATTTAAGTCCCATTCATAATATAACAGAATATTATAGACTTATTATGGATTATCTGTGAATTTGGGGCTTGATATATTTTCTATGAGGATTAAATATTCAGACATAATTATACTTTAGTACTTCGTATTCATGATATGGAAAACATAAAACAGAATTACTGTATATGATAGTTAAAGCCCTGTGACAAGAATTATTCTCAATATTATAATCTATGGTATTAAAGTATTAAATTTTAATGTATAGTACAGAAATGGTAATTTTCTCTCTTTTATGTAATGTTTGTCCCATCCGCCGTGTGAATATGACGCATTTGTACTACATTGAAGCTTTACATAATTCTAAATCGTAGTCGGAATTAATAATTGAAATAATATTACGTCATGGTTCCGTTGACATCACTAAAGACATTTGTTAAATCAATTACCCGGTGTTTCATGTACCAGTGTGTGACGTCACTTTAAATAAAACGAAATAATATGAGATACGGAAAAGCCCGAACATGTCATAAACTTATTTTTATTAGTCACCGCGATTCGCAGAGATATATACTGAGAAATATCGTGCCTAGGTCCCAACGAAACAAGTAGTTTCATGGTGCGAATGTCATGTTACAGGTATCTTAGCTACCAAGCCACTTATTACCAGATTATCCGCTTGGTAGCGCAATTCAATCAAAATCAGCAAGTTTCGAAAATACATAAAATCAAGATAGCAATGCTTGAATATGTGGACACAGAGTCCAAAACGAAATAGTATCAAATCTTTTGAAGTACTAGTAGTCTGACCACCAGATCGCTGAATTGCGATCGCGAAACAGTCATACGGTGCGCAGTTATAAATTTTGATGATGTCATCAGCAAACATTTTGAATTTGAAAACCCATAACAATTTTTAAAATAAATTAAAGTAATAGACGTCTAGCCGTCCATTTTGTGTCCAATAACAATTCAATATTATGACTTCAATAAGATTACTTCATCTTTTTATGCTTTATTAACGAGGCTATTTGATCATTGCATCATCTTGAAAATCTGACTAAATCTTACCGTACTTTTATAGGCGGGCCCTCGGATTTTTTGTATATATCACCCATGGAACAGGAACACGAGCAACAATGGGTCGACGCTCATAACCACTTTCGGCGGCAGGTGGACAATCCCGAGGCCGCAGACATGAGACTGATGACCTGGGATGACGAGCTTGCTGAATTAGCTGAAAGCGTGGTGAAGTAAGTAATATTTTATCTTTTGATAATAGTATGGAATAGTAATCGTTTGTACCCAGGCCGGATAGCGACTTAATCAAGTGAGCGACTGTCATAATGGCGACCGCATAATATGGGGTGGCGGGGGCGGGGTGGGGGGTGGACTGGCTGGTACGTAAGCCTTGGATTTAATAAGGGAAGTGATGTCGCTGTTGTGGCAGTCGCTGTTTTAAATGAATCGCTGTCGTGTAGTTGCTGTTTAAAATGAATCGCCTTATCTCCCCTTATTTAACATATATTGGTGGAGTACATCAATATGAAAAGATTCGACCCTCTCTAATCTAATAAGTGTTTTCATTTCTGTTGGTTCCCGCAGATCATTGATCTCTGTTCGAAGATGGAGGGTGTCAAACTTTTAGAACTTATTCGATTTTAGTTGAAATTGTTCCCAGGAATCAGCAGTTCTGTAATTATGGCTTCAATTTTAAGCAATCGACTGTAATTCGGTTTGACACCGTTTCCTACGTTTAAAGATGGCCCCATGGCTTGCGTTATTCTTTTTGCTGTACTAGTCTGGCTGAGCTATTATCTAATCCATGGTGGTCCGGTCCCAGGCCCGCGGGACACATGTGGCCCGCCGCTCCATTATCTGTGGCCCGCCGCTTCATTATCTGTGGCCCGCGTCACATTCGGAGAGTAATCAAAAAATCGCATTTAGTGTGGTTTCGTCATGAAATTTTTCAGAAAAATCTTTTGACATATTGTCGTTACTAATGTTACTGAATTGACTAGTGTTATGGCTAGCTGAGGCAACTAGCGAAGGTAAATAATGTGCTTGTCAGTCTAAATTGTTATCTGGTTTCTAACTTTTTGGTCGGGAATATATGCTAACAATATAGGCATCAGAGAAAACTAAAAATCGAATGCGACTGTGTTTGCACAATAAAAGTGCTTGTTTTGTATTGCACTGTTTACCTATTCTTGGCATTATTGTGGCCCGCGGAGCCGACAACCTTGGACCACCCTGATCTAATCTTTTCATTTTTGTACACAAAGTGGACCCATGGATTGTTCCGTTTAATTCTTGTTGTTGTTATTTGTTATTTAACGTTAGTTATTCACTTTAACAGAACTTGCACGTACCAACATTCCAGCGTCAGTAAACTACAGACGAGCTTCTTTTCTTACGCAGGCGAAAATCTTTACGCTGGATCGCAGTATTATTTCCACGAATTAATGGCAAACGATGGTCTAACCAAACTTTGGTATGATGAGGTGGGTGAAGCTATCTGTTGATTTCTTTGCTTGCGTTTCCAATATACCAGGTTGAACGAAGTTCGGCTCAGCGGTGTCGTGTTCTTATTACTTATCGATTTTATTCGGTATATATGTTGATAGGTATTTGTCTGTCTGTCTGTGTGTATGTCTGTTAGATGCACGCGATATCTCGCGAAAGAGAAATTGAATCTGCTCCAGATTTTGCATGTGCATTCATCATATCTCGGAACAAAAGCCTATTGATTTGAGCAAATTATGTCGTATAATTAGCGAGGTATTAATTAATTAGTGATGGGACACAAGGTGTCACTATGGAGTAAGAGCGCTGTTTTGGGGATCCCCTAACTTTCGATCGATAAGTCTTCGGTCTTTGACCGATATTCTCGTTTATCGATCTTGATCGGTAAAAGTATGTTGATACGTATTTGTCTGTCTGTTAGACATACGCGATATCTCACGAAAGCGTTGAATTTGCTCCAAATTTTACATGTGCATTCATCATATTTCGGACCAGAAGCCTATTAATTTTGGATGAATTATGTCGTATAATTAGCGAGTTATCGATTAATTAGGGATTGAACACACGGTGTCGCTGTGGAGTACGAGCGGATGAATCGAAACCGCAGTTTCTGTTTTGGGGGATCCCCTAACTTTCGATCGATGAGACCTCGGTCTCCGGCCGATATTCCCGTTTTATATTTTATTGAAGTTTGTTGGTTTGTGTTTTATTGGCACGTATCCATATTTGAGTTGTATACCCCTGAAGTCAAGTTTGAAATGAACACCCGAGTGCGGATCTGGAGTCAAGATCTAGTTTTAGTCACACGGCGATTCGAAGTTGTTTTTCAAAATAACTCTGTATCGAATACTTATTTTCTTTAGGATATTTTTTACAATTATACAACCACTGGCTGCCAGTCTGGAGAACAGTGTGGGCATTACACACAAATCGTTTGGGCGGAAACTTATAAAGTTGGATGTGCAATAGCCCAATGCAGGTTAGACTTGACTTTAGACTGTCTTTATTATTTTTCTTTGAGTTTCCGTACCGCGCTAATCGTCAGTCTTCTGGTAAGTTAATATTTGACGCCTAAAAATGATGAAACCATGTCCGCAAGCCGATTAGCATGAAATGTTTTCGAGAGATTAGTCGAAATATTGAATTTTTGATTCTGTCACTCAACGTACCTATTTTGTTATGAAGTCTTGAACTTTACTCAACAAGGCCCCAAATAAGCAAGAATTGGTTAACACACAGCTATCATGTTATTTTTTGGAAGAAGCTACACAAAATTCAAAAGGGCTGAACCTTTTTATAAGTCCTAAGTTCTAGAATGTAACAAAAGTTGTTGTTGGACACGTTAGTGCTTAGTGGACATAAATATCGTTTTGCATTTTATGCTGGCAATCTTCTTTTTTTTGTTATTCTTTGACACATGATTTCATCGATAATAAAAACCGCTTTTCTCATTGATTACTGGACCAATTGCTTTGAAATTTTCAGTGGTTGAAGATTGAATTTTTCTCAGAACTTTCATTTATTTCTAAATTTCGTATGAATTACATGAAATTTGATATTTCGTCTAAAATTTTGCTGTATTATTTTTATCCATGGTAACACGGATTTTAGTTCGCGCTATGACTGGCTGTACGTTTTGATCCTACAAAATTTATGCTACTGAAAATTCGGAAATTTTTGGAGGGTACCGGTAGCGTGAAACGTGTCCATATGTTTGAGCATTGCTCTCTTGTTATTTGTCATCATTATCATTGAAAATCGCTTTTCTCTTCGAATACTGGACTAATTATTTTGAAATTTTCAGTGGTTAAAAATTGATTCTTTTGCCAGAAGGCTGTTACTTTTATTTATTTTTGAATTTCGCGTGAAATCTGATATTTCGTCCAAAATTTCGCTGTATTATTTTATCCATGGGAACACTGGTTAATCGGTTTTATACTATAAATTCCTGCTACGCGAAACTCGGAAATTGTTTGAGGGTACCGGTAGCGTCAAAGGTAAGGACTGCTTCGCTCTAGTTAACGTGTTCATATATTTGAGCATTGCTCTCTTGTTTTTAGTGATATCACATATGGACATGGATCTACATTTGTCAGCTGTAATTACGGTCCTGGTGGAAATAAAGTGTAAGTCGAATTTTTATATGGGTACTCCCGTAGTGTGTGTGTCAGGTTAGGGTTAGGCCATAATTTTATTTCGATTTTCCTTATTTTAGTTCTATTACGAGTTCGGGGACTGTTTGTGAGGACTGCCAATTGAATATACCCCTTGCCCATACGTTTCAGTCCCTTTACACAACTTGATTAAAGTAGGCGAACAAAATTAGTAACCTCCATATTGGTATACACACTTCTGGAACGCCCTTTATTCAACCTTCAATTGATCCCCTTATAGCTAGTATTATGCGCAAGTCGCGCTTTTGTACAGTTTAATTAGTTACATACAAGACTATTATATTAATAATAATAAATGACTAATAAAAATATTGGTAATACTACAGCAAAACTTCTCTCCTAGAGCGACAAATTTCCTCTGGGAAGGAATTCTCCCAGGCTGGTAATCGTGTATTTAATCAGTTATTTACATTATTAGATTGGCAGGAGGTGCAGCGTTTCGTCCATACATCAGTGGAACACCATGTAGCCAATGTGGAACAGAGGATCAGTGTATAGATAAGCTATGCAATAATACAGAAAGAGATGTTCCTTTCACTACAACGACAGTGGCACCTACAACAGTGGAGATCACAACAGTTCAAGAAACGACGACTCTGTTAGCTACCGAAATGGTGACAACTGTAATGAACGAAACAGGTAACTGTTTAATTACAGTCTTATTTTTCTGTCTTTTTCTGTTTGCTATTTGTTTTCGTGTAGTAGAATTTTTCTAACAAAACTTTGCACGTTTATCATCACTTTTCCCCTAGACCAGGGCTACTCAACTGGTGGACCACGGTCCGAATTCGGACCTTTCGAGAAATTGATTCGGACCGCACCTAATTCTTTATTTTAGATCATTAGCCCCACTTTTTGAGTTTCCTTTTATAAAATGACTTTTATAGTTTTGAATTTATATGAAAAGAACTGTAACACCATAATAAGCAATTTTGATTATAGCTAATATTCATTTGCCGGTCGAGGAAGTGCGCGTTTAAGGTGCCGAAATATAAATTCTGAAAAGAACGGACCCAAATATTTTTGAAGTTTTGTATGCGGATCTTTGGTAAAAATAGTTGAGTAGCCCTGTTGTAGACTATAGATTGATTAACTACTCTTTACATGACAATTGCACTTGATTAGTTGTTTACATTTTCTGTAGCTAGCTGCCCTAAAAATTGAGCCTTTGGTCAAATTTGGCAGACCCTATATATATGCTCTGTACGGAGGAGGCAATTTAAATGACTATGTTGTAGTGTGTGTGTTCTCGGCTCAACGTTGAAAAAGGCAATTAATTTGTATACATGGCCAAGGGTGGAGTGTGTCCTTTGTCAAAGATTTTAAGTGACGAGTCATAAGTAATAAACAAAATGACGTCCGTATTGATTTTAATATACAACAATACTTCGGCGTTTCATTTTATGAATGACTGTAAAAGGTAAACTACACTTTACAGTTTTTTTAATAAATACAAAAACAGTACTTATAGGCAAAGACCAGAGCTCATCTACATATTCTTAATGCGATCAATAATGTGTACTTAACAAGGTTCTATAGATTTGAGTTTAAGCAAATATTTTGAAAAAGCATTGCCAAAACTCAGGCTATCGGTTATATACAAATACAGATCGAGATCTTGTCACAAGTACAGCGACGGAAGCTACGACTGTTGAGCGTACGACACCTTATGAAACTCTATTGACTACTGAATTAACAACTTCTCTAACGAGTGAAATAGCTGAATTAACGACTAACGTTGCAACTGAACTACCTACTGCTGAATTGACGAGTGTTTTAACGACTAACTTTGCAACTGAAAAAACTTCTGGATTTACGAGTGTTTTCACAACCCTGCTAACAACTGGAATAACTTCAACTTCAAAGGAGATGAATGCAACATGTAAGAAGAATAGTAACAGTTTGGAAGTTTTATTTTTATTTTTTTTGAATTTATTTTCATAGTACGCTTAACTTTACGGCTCGGCGTTGCCTACTAATGTCATTGTACCCTCGGGACGGGATATATACCTAAGATGTGTAACTTGCGATATTATAACATAAATAAATCAAATTCTTTACTCGACGGTTTTTGCAAGTTTTTTGGTGATTTTTGCGGCTTTTGCACGTCTTGCAAGGTTTTTAGTGTTTTTTTCACGGTTTTTAGTGTTTTTGTGCACGGATTTTGGTGATTTTTCACGGTTTCTGCACGCTTTTTTTGGTGTTTTTCACGGTCTTGGTAGTTTTTCACTGCCTCTGCAAGATTTTGTTGTACGTTTTTCGGCACATTTTCTATTTTACCGAGCGATTTTCTGCTAACCTGGGAATAAGAATTGTTCATGGACCGGGCTGTTTGTGTTTAATTTTCGTTCGTTTTCGATCTGAAGTTCGAAGTCAAAGAAAAATGTTCAAAAACATTAAATATTGCTTTTCGGGTTGAGACCCGGTCGTTTTTATATATTATTTCACAAGTTCTAATCGGTCATCGCACCGCGATTACCCTGCTTTAATTCGCAATTTCGAGTATGTGTGAGACGATTTTTGGAATCTTTCCCGATTAGGCTATTTTGCATTATCACTAGTCGGCATCCTTTATTCGGTACTCCCGGAGTATGTGAACCAAGATGGTGGACACCGGGACGTAGTATGTGTACCAAGTTAGAGTTAGGCCATAATTTCAGGTACAAATACTACGGGAGTCACTTGGCTAGTCCCCTAGTTCCGTAATAGACTAAAATAAAGTAAGTTTGAACTAAAATATGGCCTAACTCTAACCTGGTACACATACTATATTCAGGTGTCCGCCATCTTGTTTCACATACTACAGAAGCGTCCAATATTGAAAATGGTAAAGGGACTTTATGGACACCCTGTATAAGAACAGTATAAACACACAATATATGGCATTTTTAATCATATAGCATGTATACACGTTGAATAATTTTTTTTTTTTTCAGACCAATCTACAACACCGTGTTCTGGAAATACTTCTTGTGAAACTAATATAACTTCCACGTCCTCGTCGCGAAGTTGTCTTGTCACTGAAAGAGCCTCTATATTTTTATATTCCCTGCTTCCGCTTATTATTTGTAGATTAGATATATTTTAGGTAATATATTTTGAGCATTATTTAAATATTCACAATTCAACATCATATGTGAAATGTTTCTCTCACTAAATTTTGTAAGAACATTAGAAATTATTACATAGCAGTGGTTCTTGTATGTGCCCTCATCGAAAGCGTCGTAGAATCCGATCCACGTAATACATGTTTTAAAATTTGTTGTCGTTTAGACAAAAATTGCTCTTATGTTTCACTATCACCCCAATCGCTTCGAATTTCAATGTTTTTAGACGAAATTGTCTCTTTCAAATTAGTTATTATTTTTCTGCCTTTTATCCATGTACTTGATCTGGCAATACTGCTGTTGTCAATGGCTAAATTCTTTGAATTTGATGCATTTATGAGATTGTAATTTAGGGACAAAAAATTTTGATCTTGATTTTGGTCTTGAGAAATGTTTTATAGTAAACATAAATTTAAAAACGATGGCGACTATTTCTGTCCTTACCTATTTCACAAATTGTAATGGAGACGCTCGAGTCTATAACTCAAATCATTTTGAGCTCTTGACTCCATTTATCAAAAAAGTGACTCGATATCCTCTCAATGAAATGACTCGTCTCAGTGATTGACTCGACTCGGCACTCGAATGACCCATATGGCGACCTAACTTGTGACCCGGGTTTAAAAAATTCTATAGAAAAAACGATATTTTATTTGATAAATTATACATGTTACCAAAGTGCGACACTATTTACAATGTCACTCAAGTTTCAACGGGATTTCTAGTCTATGCATATTAGATTATTACCAATGTTAGGCTCAAGGCAAAAGTAGTATGTTTTCGTTTTTGTCAACTTAATGCCCTAGGGCTCAGCGCGTCGGTCTTTTACTGTGTTGGCATCAAAAATGCGACTGAGTGTGAATCTTCGTCTCTTAAATTCCATTTAGAGTTCAGCCAAAGCTGAGGTTGAACTTATAGCCTACTAAGTTCTGTCAAAGTTATTAAAATTTTGAGTTTGTTTCTACAAAGAATAGTTGCAAATTCTGATTCTGGTGAGTTTTGGTGAGTGATATTTTGGCGCCAAAGTTGATCAAAGTTATTAAAATTTCGATCTTGTTTCATAAATAGAATAGTTACAAATTCTGATTCCGGTTCAAATTTTTGGCGCCAAATTTGATCAGTTTAATAAAACGAATTCGATTTCAACGCCGAAAATAAATCTACTATAACACACACTTTACAATTAAATTCAGTCTGTTTTGAGTAGATCATTGAAAGTTTGTGTTTAAGTTGTCTGTTTTTAAACTTTTATCTGTGATATGGAATATCAAAAATGCTTTCTTCGTTTGAGAAAAAAAAACATTGGCTTTTTTAAATATATTTTTTTCATATTTACATAATAAATTGATTCTATTATGATGCTTATATGAAGTTTATTGGGACCTCCTGGAGTATGCGCACCAAGATGGCGCACAACCTGAACTCAGGTTGTGTACCAGGTTAGGGTTCAGGTTATGCGACATCTTGGTGCGCATACTTCAGGAGCACCGTTCATTGGGTACTCCTGTTGTACGTGTACCAGGTTAGAGTTAGGCCATGATATTGTTCCGATTTCCTCATTTTATTTATATTACGAGTTCGGGGACTGTTTGTGTTAGTCAAGTTAATATACCCCCTGCCGATAGGTTTCCGTCCCTTTATACAACTTGATGTAAAATAGGCAAACAAAATTATTTACCTACATATTGGTACACATACTTCTGGAGCGCCGGGGAATTGGGGTTCTATGGAACACCATAATTTTACAAGAAGTTATTTGTGAAATTAAACATGTTACCAATGTGCGACACTTTTTACAATGCCCATTCAAATTCCAGCGAGATTCCAAGTCTATGCATATTGAATTATTATCAATGTTGTGCCCAAGGCAAAAGCAGTATTTTAGTATGTTTTTGTCAACATGATGACCTAGTGCTCAGCAGTTTTTCACTGTGCTGGCATTAAAAATGCGACTGAGTGTGAATCTCCGTCTCTTAAATTCTGTTTACAGTTCAGCTGAAGTTAAACTTATAGCCTACTAAGTTCTGTCAAAGTTATTACAATTTCGAGTTTGTATCTACATAGAATAGTTCTGATTCTGGTGAGTTTTGGTGAGTGAAATTTTGGCGCCAAATTTGATCAGTTTAATAAAAGGACTTCGATTTCAATCCGAAACAAAATCTATAATACCACACCCTTTACAATTGAATTCAGTCTGTTTTGAGTAGATTATTGAAAGTCATTGTTTTGTGTTTAAGTTGTTTGTTTTTATACTTTTATTTGTGATATGAAATATCAAAAATTCGTTCTTCGTTTAAAAATAAACCATTGGGTTTTTAAATATATTTTGTGTCCATGATAACATAATAAAATGATTTTAATATAATGCATGTCAGGAGTATTTTTGTGGAATTAGTGATTTGCGAAGAATGCGGATGATTGAATAAATTAAAAAAATGGCGTTCATTTTTGTACAGAATCGAATGTACTCCCGAACCAAGATGGCGGACACCGGAACGTAGTATGTGTACCAGGTTAGGGTTAGGCCATAATTTCAGCCACAAATATTACGGGAGTCACTTGGCTAGTCCCGAACTCGTAATAGAACTAAATTAGGAAAATTGGAATAAAATTATGGCCTAACCTGGTACACATACTGCGTTCCGCTGTCCGCCATCTTGTGTCACATACTTCGAGAGTACCGAACCGCACACTTAATTAACGTAGATAGTAGAACGATAAAGATGATGGTGCGCAAATGATATCATTGGGATTGATTGTCATTTGTTTCGTCGTATATTATGAATGAGTGAGCAAAAATTGTAACAAATATACAAGCGCATGATCATTTTGACCAAAAAAGGCAGGTCGTAGATCAATGTTTTCAACCCATTCTTTTGTGGCCTATATTTGGCATCAACAGAATTCTTATGCTTCATTTATAAGTCTATATATCACAGTAGAAGTGGCAATGATGATCACAGTTATCCTTGTGTCTATTTGACGCTACAGAAGTATGTGCATCCGATGACGCACAACCTGATAACTCTAACCTGGTGCACATACTATGTTCAGGTTGTGCACCATCTTGGTAAGCACCGTCTATTTAAAAGCTTGTCAAGTTGAACTTCCAAACCCTGGTTCAATTTCAACCATACACATATTTATTGAAACCTACCATGAGTCGGATAAAAACTTCTTTTAAAAGTCGCCAGGTGAAACAACAATAATATAGACTTCTTTTGTTCATTGTAAAATACCTAATTCTTGATCAGTTTTGCCTAACTTGCCTTGTTTGGCACTCCGGAAGTATTCGTAACAAGATGACGCACAACCTGAACATCCCAACCTGGTACACATACTATGTTCAGGTTGTGCGCCATCTTGGTACGAATACTTCGGGAGCACCCCCAGTTGTATTGAAATTTACATGAAAAAGATTCGAGATTGCGATTTAGTCTACCACATATATATCCATCTTTATTTTTTTGTGGGGGTGGGGATTCACTATCGCTCTTGAGATGGCTCTAGGTAAGCAATCACCAATGTGGAAACATTGATCTATTTGGAATGACACTGGCATAGCATTGCACAAGCACCCAGATTTATTACATTGTAGGTAAGGCAACGGACGCATAATTTGAGGCGCTCCAGAAGTGCGAGTACCAATATGTAGGTAACTAATTTTGTTCGCCTACTTTACATCAAGTTGTGTTAAGGGACTGAAACCTATGGACAGGGGTATATTCACTTTGCTAACACTGCCGGTCCCCGAGCTCGTAATAGAACCAAAACAAGGAAAATCGGAATACAATTATGGCCTAACCCTAATCTGGTACGCATACTTCGGGAGTACCTAATTTGAAATTGAAACCGAGATTTTTGAGCTGAGATGTCTTGATTCTCTTTGTTTTTACACACAAAACAAACAAAGCACAATAATTTGCAATGAGTGTATTAATAAGTGATTTCTTAATATGAGTAAATAAAAATCAGGAACATGACATACTGTCGAATCCAAAACGTCAACTAAGTTTATCAAATAAGAATAACATAATCTCTTTCCACAAAATAGTTCGCTGTTTATTAAGCCATATCTGGTTTTTGTCTGAAGAAGTTCGACTATGATCACACGAAAGCTAAATAACATACTTGCCATTTTGTGGAGAGAGATTATGTTATTCTTGTTTATCTTTATAATACTATCTCGTCGTTGTGGCAACTGACACATAAGGATCCGAAATAGAAATAAACAAGGAAAAAGGACTTGCAGTTCAGTACACGATACCCCATCTATAGTACACACCTAAATTTATTAGGAGAGTACTAGTATGTCGTGTTTTGAACTGCAAGTCCTTTCTCCTTGTTTGTTTCGGGTGGTTATGTTTTTGTTGCCACAGGGATGCTTGAACGAGATAGAATTAAAGTGATGAATAAAAATAACATAATCTCTTTCCACGAAATAACACGAGTAATAGTGAGCTTTTAACATATCATAGTCTGACTTCTTCAGACAAAACAATATATTTCTCAAAATCAAACAATCAAAAATGAATTCTCACTGCAACTAAACCTGACATGAGCAAACTATGACCCGCGGGCCAAATCCGGCCCGTTGGGTAATTAAATTTAGCTAAAAACAAATTTTGGTGATTTTGCTGAAAAAATTGCCCAATAAATATGTTGAGATTGCGATTGAATTTAGTTTTGGTACGAGACTTATTTTTTTCCATTTTTTCTTGTGTAACACTGTAAATAAAATTCTGTTCATAAAATGTAACTTTTTACGTCACGCTTACATGGCCCGCCAGTCTAGGTGGGCAAAATGTTTGGCCCCTGGTCCGAAAACCTTGTCCTAAATGACCTAAACCAACGTTTGATTTAGTTGTATTTTGTGACGTCCTGTCTGAAGTTAAGATATGAGCTAATGAAAAGAGATTATTCTATTCTTACATTGATTAGGTCAAACTCATACAGTCGATTATTGTTCTTTTTCGCACAAAATATCCATCAGAAGATGGCACTGATTGTCGACCACCGTCCAATCGAAGTCGATGTGGCCGCAATGTTCGTGCGAATGATTTGGTTCGTTTTTTCTCCATGCTGTGTTTTGTCTGGTAGAAACAACCCCGTCGATCCATAGCCATATGTTGTGACTTGCAAGATCGTCCAAACCTATCCAAGTTCGAGTACCCCTGGGTATGACTAATTTATTGATGACGTCACTGAAATGGTGAAATATTTTTCGTAAGAAACAATATCATGATCTTAGTATATTGGTTCCATGTGTGGAATGGAGGAATCCCACTCGCCATCTCATCCAAGATGTTATCAAGCTAGGATGAACCGATGTCTGACACAACCACAACGTAAGAGCTTGTTAGGTATCAGTGGCTGTCAACTATCTCTTAAAAATAGGTTCGAATATTTCATGAATCATTTTAATTTAATAATTTTTTGTTCATTTGACAGTATAAGCAACAACAATTTAAAAATTTTGGACCTCCTGAAGTATGCGCACCAAGATGACGGACAACCTGAACTCAGGTTGTGTACCCGGTCAGGGTTCAGGTTGTGCGACATCTTGGTGCGCACACTTCAGGAGCACCCAATTTTTAACGTATCTCTTATGAATATCTTCGTTTCACAAAATTTAGGGTTTTAACTACATGAAAAACGGTTGCTACAGCCTAAGCAATAATGAATCAATATCACTAACTTTCGAACGTTTGCATTCCTCATCCCGACCGTTGCCAGACGCCCACCGTAACGTGCACAGAAAGTTTTTGCGCCACTGTAATTTTTTTGTTCCTTGAATCTTTTGTACCACAGACCGTTGCTAGATTTGTACCATCCATTCAGCATAAATACTTCTGTATATAGAACAATGTAGGAGTCAGTCTAAACCTAACATGGGCAATCTACGGCCCGCGGTTCAAGTCCGGCCCGTTGGGCAATTCAGTATGGTCTGCCTGGTGTTGCCACAACCAAACTAAAACTAAATTTCGATGTTTTAGTGGAAAAATAGCGCAATGAATTTGTTGAAATTGCGATTAATTTTAGTTTCGGCACAAGGCTAATTGTTTACCACTTTTGCTTTGTAACGCTGTAAATATAGTTCATAAAATATAAATTTTTGCGTCACACTTACATGGCCCGATGGCCCGCCAGTGTAGGTGGGCAAAATTTGTGACCCATGGTCCAAAAACCTTGTCCACCTCTGGTCCTAAGCCAATATATAAGCTGTTTTGGAGAATAGGAAAACAGCTGCAACCGTTTTAATAAAATAATCAGTCATTCTGGCCTACAATAAACACACTACATAAACACGCATTTAACACGGCAATTTTGCATAACAAAATGTAGGAAAAGAGAAATAGGACATGTTTTTACCTGTTGTAAGTTTTCTGTTTGCTGCTTGCAATTCGGCAATCTGGTTCGAAAGACGTTGGTAACCGGAGCAGTCACAATTTTGTCCAGGGTGGCCGGTCGGACCCCTAGGTCCTTGTAGACCGGGCAATCCTCTGGGGCCTTCTGGCCCAGCTTTCCCTGGTGCCCCCACTACGCGGTTCGTTATAGGGATAAACGGAGGCAATGTATCGTCACAAACAAGACTACAAGTTCCTAAAGAATTCAATGCCAAAGCAAAGTTATCTACGCTAATTAGCATCATAAGGCAGATCACAATAGCTATTGCCGACATTTTTGAGCGTATTGAACACTTATTTTTCAGTACATACAGGTAGAGGGAACTAGCAAATAACAAGCCTTATCCAAACTAGTTTCCCAACGAGAGTTTGTTTACAAAACATTGCAAGACAAGCAAATTTCGAGAGGAAACTGACGTATATTGTTTGACGTAATATAGTTGGGAAATTACTATTCAACAAAATTTGCAATCCAATTTGTCAATCAGGCAAGTCGTTCCCAACAAATGAAATGGCTCAAATATTGAAACAAATAGTGTAAAATGGCACAACGATAACAATTCAATACGTCAAGTATTGATCAAAGGTGCCAATATAGGGTGTACTAGTTAGGTTATTGTGTACTGAACTAAAAGTCCTTTCTCCTTGTTTACTTTCTACTTCGTATCCGTATGTGTCAGGTGCCACAAGGATACTCGAACGAGATTATATTGTTTGACGTAATGTACTTGGGAAATATCTGTTCAAAAAAATTTGCAATCCAATTTGTCAATCAGGCAAGTCGTTTGTCCCCAATCCCCACTAATTATTTAATAACTCGCTAATTATACGACATAATTCATCCAAAATCAATAGGCTTCTGGTCCGAGATATGATGAATGCACATGCCATTTTGGAACAGATTTAGACTCGCGTCCGTGGGATATCGCATGTATCTAACAGACAAACAAACATACCAACGAACAAACAGACAAATACCTATCAACATACTCACCGATCAAGATCAATAAGTAATTAATATATAATAAATAGCGTAACAATTATAATTCATTCCGGCAAGTAATTGCAAAAAAAATCTTTGTTGTCGCTGGCTGGCCTGGTATAGAGGACTTGCACGGGTCACGTGACTTTTTTACTGGACGGCAATAAAAAAAAACGTCCATTTGGCTCCTGTAAGTTGCAAGTCGGATTATACGTCTCCGTTTTGTTTGGCTGTTGAAAATGGTTATTTCGTATTGTTCCGTTGGCTGTACGTATAGTATAGACAACGAAATGGATCTTAAGTTATATTCCACTGATTTCAAGAGATCCGGAACGTCGCGCAATGTGGATATCATCTATTGCCTATTTGCAGAACTGCCTGGTGTCAAGTCCAGAAGCCATCTCACTTGTGTTTCACTGTTTGCGGACAGCACTTCGTTGATGGTGAGTGATAATGTGGTGATAGCGTGCCGTTATCAATTTCTTTAAATATTCACAAGCTCCCTCATTTCAATGGAAAGCAGATGACAAACTACTGTTATTAGTAGGCCTAGGCGTGGGCCTACTTGCAGTTGCAGACTTGACTTGTGTAAGACAGTGAGGAATTAATAATCAATTGCTATAAGGTATTGTTTCCCTAATTAGCAGGTAATCTATTACTAAGTGTGAAAGGTTGAATAGATAACTAAAGTTTAACACCATGGGGCCTGGAAAAAATAACCAGAATTCAATTGAATTTGCCATCTAGGAATACGCTCGCCACCGCATCTCTGATCACCCTGGTAGTTTCACAGGTTTCAATCCCATGCGGGGATAGTTATGTGCGAGAGGATTGCAGCAGATAAATCCCATCCTTATGGTGCTTGTACAACTGATCCAAAATGTCTATTATTGTCATTGGTAAAAAAGATATGCTACCTGGAATCAAATTCATTTACGACTAGTGGCTGTGGTGGGATATGGACATAAATTTCACACTCCTTGATCGTTGAATTTTATGAAAACTCTATCTGTATCCATTATCTTAAGATATGGGTGCGACCATGGAATAGATGAATGGCAAAGTATAAGTTGCAACAAGACCACAGTGCCACAAGACCTCAGCTTGCGTGACTTGATAATACATGCTCAGTATCCATTTATTGATGCTTATCGTATTGACAAAGTAACTTGTGATTAATGTGGATTGGTGGAGATAAGGTGTCCATTGTGCTTTAACGAAAGCAACTTCAAGACGACCCTATCAAGAAAAAAAAAATTGTTTCGGTGGGTCTGGCAGTGAAGTTTTCAGTCTAATGTTGGACACCGATACTACAACCAGATACAGTTGCCAATGCAATTTAGCGAGGCGTAATATTGCGACTTTGTGATCTGAAAGAAAATTCTGATGGGTAGCCGGCTAGCCGCAACATTTTGTTTAAAGAATATTATGAGATATGACTTAAGATTTTAAACTTTTATTTGAGAGGGGTATAACCCAAGCTAATTTGCAAATGGTATTCATGGTACCAAATCTATCACACACTTTACAGTAATTATAAATTATATTTGAAAAATAAAGCACATCAAAAATGTATTTTTAAAAAACAATTGGTTTTATCTGCAGATACTAGGTTGATATTGAGATTGACCATTTCAATGCTAAATTTTCTTTAGTCAAAAGGCACACTTGATTCGCAAAGATTTGTGAATGCGCACAGTACACCAATTTGTCTAATGTTTTGATTCCATAGGCAAGAGGTTGTGGATCGGTGCTGCGCAGGATGGGATATTTTTGCCTATAAATGCATATTACGTGTTTCACATGAATCCATCGTGCTCAGATTCGACTGTTTTCAAGGTCTGAAGGCTGCAACAGCCTAATTTTATCGGTACACAAGAGAATTTTCAGTGTGGCATGCATGGGTCAGTTGGAGTCACTGACCTCAAGCCTTTTCAAATGGAAGATATAATGTCTCGGGGGTAATTTCTATCAAATATTTTACAGTATTATGGTTCTAATGAAAAGGGGTGTAGGCGGCTTCTTTCAAAGTGTGGTAGGTCCAGTCGAAAGACACATGAAATGTTTATGCTAACAACTGCAAAGTAATATTGCAACGCGTACAAGTTAACAGAATTTGTTGAAATGGTCCTGCCTTTTGCCTTTCTTCAAAATCCCCCTTTTTCTAACTATTCTCTTCCTCTCTGGAGATGGCGAAAATTCAAATATCGATGGGACATATAAGCAGCTGATAATGGGTTATCTTCCTTTTTCCTGAAAATAAATTAAACACTAATCATCATTTGACAGTGCCAAGTTTGTGTATCAGATCAGTATTAAATTACCTGCTAACTAAGTAATGGCCTTCTGGAGAAAATTTTTATCTTCAACCACTGAAAATTTCAAAGCAATTGGTCCAGTATTCGAAGAGAAAAACGACTTTTTAAAAACGTGTCAAAGAACAACAACAACAACAACATAATATTGAAACGATCGTTATGTCCACTACGTGTCCAATAACCATTTTCAACAGCCAAACAAAACGGAAACGTATAATCCGACTTACAACTGACAGGAGCCAAATGGACGTTTTTGTTTTATTGCCGTCCAGTAAATAAGGTCACGTGACCCGTGCAAGTCCTCTATACTGCCAAAGCCATATTCGCCATTAACAACGTGAACTACGTGAAACGTGAGACTCGCAATTTTTGAGGCAGCCATTTATATATAAGTTTATTAATTTTCCAACTGAGCAAAACGATTCAGCAGTAAACTAAGGGTTATTGGGCACGGTGTGAACCTATGGATCGTTTTGTTATTCTGCTGTTGTTCTTATTGATGTTATTAGAAGATTTTTCTCTCAATTGTTTCGTAATAAGGTGTGTAGAGGCACACTGTCAATCAAGTGAAATTACGGCGGCAACAACAACAAATAAATTACCACTCAAGTTAAACGGACGCAATGTTTATGTCTCTACAAAATTTAAGTGAATGCGATTCTTGATGTAACACGACGTACTATTTAGAAAATTACTCGTATCGCGTAGACAGGTTCGTCGGAAACAGGAGAAGTGAATATATATATATTAAGATTTGAAAAATCTCTGGATTATTAATCATTTAGATATATCTTATCTGGGTTATAGTTTGAATACCGGTATTTAAAACTTCGATTAGCAGTGAGCCTCAGTTGTGAACTGTCAGTTGATTCTCCAGACGTAAGATTTTGTGCCAAGTTTTTTTTCCCCACAAAAGCTGGAGTTATGTGGAATGCATTACCCCCATAGTGTTCGCCTTATGACGGCTTTTCTCTCGCCCGGAATAATTTCTAAATCTTATCCTAGTTCACTACTCGCAGCACCGCTTGGCATGAAATACGACTTGATTGACGTTAATGACCGCATTGTTGCAGCACAATCAGGAACTTATGCTAGATAGTTTCATTGAGACGTCACCGACTCGGAAGATTTGTCTAAATCAGGGGTTCTCAAACTTTATTGGCCGCGGGCCAGAATTAGAATCGGAAGGATGTTCGCGGGCTGGAAGAAACATGTTTGTTCGACTCATAATGGCGCTTTATGTCGTATTGCCTCAGAACTGGAATAGTTCTTTTGCAAAGTAGACAAATCGCAGAAGTTTGATTCCATTTAATACAGAAATACGAGTCTTGTCTATGTTTTTATTTGACATCTCGAACCTTTCTAACACGGATGAAAACTAAATTACTGCCCTAGGTAAACCTAATACCGGTACGTATAATTGAGATACCGGTGTAATCGAATTTCTATGATAAAGACGAGCTTAAACTGTGATAATTACATAATAATTGGCGGTTTTAGATTGCAAAAAGGTATAGAAACAAAATCTGTTTCACTATTCCACTTGAGCCCGGCGGGCCATTTTAAATCGTTACGCGGGCCGGATTTGGCCCGCGGGCGCGGTTTGAGAACCCCTGGTCTAAATCTTTTAATACCGTACCCCTAATGCTTCATTTAGGGTTATGTGTACAATTAATTGATTGCAAATGCACAATAATAGCTAGATGCGTATACCACATCACACGTGGACAGTTTCTAAGTTTTAGGAATAGCACCTCTTCGTCAGAGATATTATAGAATTTACTCTATTCCTTTTTTTTAAATCTAATCCGCTGTAGTCGGATCAATCCTTCTGTCTGTCTTTTCATGATATTACATCACATGCCAAAAAAAAGGCCCTAATATTCTCTCGTGACTTTTGTAGTCTACCCGATGTCACTAGTTAGTTATCTTTGTCATATCGTAGATATATAGTAATGATCATATGCATATCATTTGAATACATAGGTATACAGGCAATGGTTGAATTCAGCCGGTTCGCACCGGTTTTCTAGAACCGTCTCATGGAATTTTATGAGATCAGCGAACCGGTTAGCATTACTGGTTACTGTCAATGTTCT